AAAAAAAATTCTTTTTTAAGCTGGGCAATAGTGGTATACGTCTTTAATCCCAGCACTCGGGAGGCAGAGACGGGCGGATCTCTGTGAGTTCGACGCCAGCCTGGTTTACAGAGTGAGATCCAGGACAGGCACCAAAACTACACAGAGAAACCCTGTCTCAAACAAACAAAAACAAAAAATTCTTTTTTAAAACAAATAAGAAAAACTCAGGGCTGGAGAGATGGCTCAGAGGTTAAGAGCACTGGCTGCTCTTCCAGAGGTCCTGAGTTCAATTCCCAGCAACCACATGGTGGCTCACAACCATCTGTAATAGGATCTGGTGCCCTCTTCTGGCCTGCAGACAGAACACTCACTGTATACATAATACATAAATAAATCTTAAAAAAAAAAAAAAAAAAAAAAAAAAAGAAAAACTCAAGAAACTACAATAAAACTAAAGTCAATCAAAGAAAGGAAATGAAACCAAATTGAAATGTACATAAAATACCTTTACAGACAGGTCTGTATGGTGAAAACACACAGGTGTGTATGGATTCTGCAATACTTTCTGCACATCCTCCTCCTCCTCCTCATTATTATTGGAGACAGGGACTCACTATGCAGCCCTGACTAGTTTGGAATTCGATATATAGACCAAGCTGGCCTTGAATTCACAGCGATCTGCCTGCCTCTACCTTCTGAGTGCTAGGATTAAAAGTATGTGATACTGTACCTGGCCAAAAACATTTTCTTCAGGATTTATTAACGTTTATGAGTGTGTTGTCTGCGTGTATGTTCACCATGCGTGTGCGTAGTGCCGTGCCTAGTGCCAGGACAGGGAGTGGAATCTCCTGGAACTGAAGTTAAAGAGGGTTGTAAGTAGCTATATGGGTGCTGGGAACTGAGCCCAGGTCCAGCCCTTTGTACTCTGGAAGTACAAAGATAGCTTTTAATTGCTAGTTCATCTCTCCAGCCCGTCTCTTTTTTTTTTTTTTTGGGGGGGGGGTTTCGAGACAGGGTTTCTCTGTGTAGCTTTGCTCCTCTCCTGGAACTCACTTGGTAGTCCAGGCTGGCCTCGAACTCACAGAGATCCGCCTGGCTCTGCCTCCAGAGTGCTGGGATTAAAGGAGTGCGCCACACCGCCGGGCTCCAGCCCGTCTCTTAACATTACAACAGGAGAGCCCTGGATTGTCCCCAAGCAATACTAGCCAGGCGTGGTGACTGATGTCTTCTACACTTGGGGCTGACATAGGATTGTTGAGGCTAGTATGAATAAAAATGAAGAGATGCCACAAGAAGGTCCTTTCAGTAACACACACACACACACACACACACACACACTTTACCACTGAGTTATACCTCCCACCCCGATTTTTGTTATTTATTTATTTATTTTTTTTCCCCAGAGACAGAGTTTCTCTGTAGCTTTGGAGCCTGTCCTGGAACTCACTCTGTAGACCAGGCTGGCCTCGAACTCACAGAGATCTGCCTGGCTCTGCCTCCTGAGTGCTGGGATTAAAGGCATGTGCCACCACCGCCCGTCCCAACCCTGATTTTTATAGTTTTTTATTACTTTTTCTTGAGAAAGAGGTCAGTTTTTAGACTAGGCTGCCCTCAAAGACACTTGCCTCTGACTCCCAAGTGCTTGGATTAAAGGGATGTAGGGTCATGCCTGGCTTATTTTATGTTCTGGAAACGGGGGTACTACTATGCAGCCCAGGGTGGCCTAAGCCTTTCAATTTTGCTACCTCAGCCTTGCAAAAGCTGGCATTTTAGGCTGTGACACCAAGCTTTAGCCCCTAATTTTATTGCTTTTCCTTTGAAAACAGGATCTCAGTATGTAGCCAAGGCTACGTACACTCACAGCAATATTCCTGACTTAACCTCTCAGTGGTGAGATTACACTTGCTGTGACACCCTGTCCAGCTTCTGCCCTTCGTTTTTATTAAAACCATATTCAGGGGCTGCAGAGAAGGTCCACCAGTTAGGAGTGTTTACTGCTCTATCAGAGGACTGGGGTTCAGTCCCTAGCACCCATTACAAAATGCCTGTAACTACAATTTCAAGGTATCCGATGCCCCTTCTTGTTTCCGTGGACACCTGTACACACATGTGTAGCAAGAAATCTTTAAATAAATCTGAATTACATTTTACATTTATTTGCATGCATGTGGCATATTCTTGCCACCACAGAGGACACCTTGTGAGATTTGCTTCTCTCCTGGGACCATGTGGGTCTCAGGGATGGAACTCAGTTTTTCAGGTTTAGTAGCAACTGCCTTTCCCCAGCAGAGCCATTTTCTGTGCACAGATGGTCATTTAAAAGAATGTTTTTTTGAGGTGCCCCCGACAATTTTATTATAAACACACATAAGATGTCCTCTTTGTTTGGTGAGGTTCTGCTCAGTTTTAGACGACCCATAGTTTTCTCACTTCCGCCTTTCAGAAGTAGATGGTCACAGATCTTCGCTGTTCTTTCAGTGGTGAAGAGGGTTGCTCTGGACAACAGCTTCTGTCTTCCTGTGGTGCTTCAGACACTGGTGGGCCTGGGAAGCTCTCACCTCAGGAGCACTGGAGCCCTTAGGGCTCTTCCAGCAGTCTATCCAGTAGAATTGATTCATGGTTCCAGAATGATCTCCCTGTTTTTTTCATGAATAGCTAGAGAGGCAGTATCTAGAATTGCATCCCACCCTTATCATGATCCAGGCATGGTTATTTATATTGGAGACTAAATTCTCTTCTAGTCTCCCTTTAAATTTATTATTATTATTATTATTATTGTTATTATTTTTGGTTTTTCGAGATAAGGTTTCTCTGTATAGCTTTGCGCCTTTTCTAGAACTCACTCTGCAGCCCAGGCTGGCCTCGAACTCACAGAGATCTGCCTGCCTCTGCCTCCCGAGTGCTGGGATTAAAGGTGTGCGCCACCACTGCCCGGCTTAAATTTATTATTTTTTTAATTATTTGTATCTATATGCCCATGAATCCAGGTGCCCAAGGGTAGCAAGAAGTCGGAATCCCAGCAGCTGGAGTTACAGGCAGTTCTCAACTACCCAACGCTGGTTTTGGGAATTGAACTCCTGTCCTCTTGAAAGACTACAGAACCATCTCTCCAGATATTTCATCTCTTTCTTGAGTGGTCTCACGTGGCCCAGGTCTTGATCTTCTGAGGCTCCTGTGTCCATCTTCTTTTTTTCCACTAGGGTATAATCTATACAGTGAAATTTCATACACATCTTAGATGGCATTTATTTATGTATTTTTTCATGCGTTAATCTGACCTAAGGTCTCACAGTGTAGTTCAGGCTCAGATCAATCTCCTGCCTCAACTCCTGCTGAATTATAATGGGTAACCACCACACCCATCTTAAATGACATTTTTTAAAAGTTTTGAGAGCAGCCTTTCCAAGTCATTCTTCAGACAGTCTTAGAGTTCCTCTCCTAGAAGAGCCTGGGGCACCACCCAGATGGCCTAGGGGCCGTCAGTAGGTCACCTCCTCTTAACAGATGCCTGGGCGCCCATTAAAACAGAGTAACCGGCCCCTCAGACGATCAGAATTCAGATTCGTTTATTTCCACACATCCAACTGGCCAACTGTGCGATGCTTCGAGGTCAGTCTCAGCTTTGCCGAGTCCTAGAGAAATGCAAAGGGAAAGGGAAGAGAAAAGTGGGGGGAATTGTGGAGGGGGGGAACCCGAGCTCTCCCGGGCAGTGGCCATCAGCCTCCAAGAGGCAGGGATTCCGAATGAAGTCTTTTTTCTTTCTTTCTTTTTTTTTTTTTTAAAATAAACGGAAGAGTCGCTCTGCGCTCCTCGCCCGGGAGGTTCCAAAGGTCGTCACACTGAGGCCTGGGGGCGATCGTCTCCCCCGCGGCCGGAGCGGGGGAGGAGGGTGGTGGGAGGAGGGGAGGCGCACACAAAAGCGGGCCGGGCCAAGAGGGCTAATGTTTCCTGTTTGCCTGGAACCCCCTCCCCGGCCTCCCCTCCCCCACCCCTCCCAGCACTCGGGCGGAAGTGAGTTTGCTCCTTTGGAGATTAAAAGGATTCCGAATTCCGATCAGTCCCAATAACCGGCGTTCCGAGAGGCGGCAAGGCAGAGAAAGAGGGGACACGCGCGCGCGCACGCTGCCCCCCATTCAGGGGAGTTGTGCAAAAATAAAACCCAAAGCAACCCAGGAGACCAGGGCACCGGGAGAGCTAGAGCCCGGTAGGCGCAGCGTAGCCGGGGCCACCCGCGTCCCCGCTCGGCGACTCGTTTGCAGGAGGATGACGCAGGCGGGAGCCGCGGGCAGCGTTGGCCACGCGGCTCCTGAAGTGGCCGTGCGGGTCCCTCGCCGGCTCCTCTGATTCCAGCACGCCCGGGAGGGAGGCTCCGGGATTGCAGGGGGGACCCGAGCGAGGGTGAAATGGCCCGATGACAAAGGAAATGTGATCCCCCTTCGCTGCCCAGGTTTCGGAGAGGACGGCCGTGAGGAGGAGGGGCGCGCGGCGCGCGCGGAACGCGGATAGCATTGCACGACGGCCCCGCGCGGAGCGGGCGGCGGGTACATCCAATATCCTCCCGCCGATGAATAATTCAGGGCGGCCCGCGGGGACCTGCGGCCCCGCGCCGCGGAGCGCCTGAGGCCGGAGAAGGGTCGGAGCGCGCGCTAGAGAGAGCGAGGAGGGCCGGGGACACGCGGGCGCCGGGCCGCGTGGGGCGCGCGTGCGTGTGAGCGCACGGAGACCGCGGCCCGGCCGGGCTGCGCAGAGGCGCGGAGTGCGTGGAGCGCGCGTGCGTACTTGGCACGCGTGCTTCCGCGGGCCGGAGGCCCCCGCACGAGGTGCAGCTGCGCGCTCGAGCCGACCGCGCCGCGGGGGAGGCTGCGTCTCGACCGCCACGCAGGAGCTCCTGCCGCCGCGTCATGCGGCGGGGCGGCCGGCGTCGCGCGCGCGGACTCGGGCTGCTGCTGCTGCCACTTCGGGGCGTTCTCCCCTCCCTCCAGGAGACTCAATCCGTTTAGCCCGGGGCAAAGAAAAAAAAAAAAAAAGCAAGCAACACACGCAAGACTCGTCGGGACCAAATTCTTTTTGCGCCTCGGGGACTGGATTCCACGGCGGACTTTGGGACTTGGGCGGGCGCTCGCTTGCTGCGGAGTGGCGGTGCATGCCCTCCGTGCCGAGGTGGCCCGGGGGTCGCCTCCACCGCGTCCTCGATGCGCTCTGCTGAGTGAGCCGCGCGCCCTCCTCCTCCTCCTCCTCCTCGCCGCACGCCCTCTTCCCTCCGGCCCGCCTTCAAATGGCTTCGTTCCCCGAGACCGACTTCCAGATCTGCCTGCTGTGCAAGGAGATGTGCGGCTCGCCCGCGCCGCTCTCCTCCAGCTCGTCCGCCTCGTCGTCGTCCTCGCAGACGTCCACGTCGTCCGCGGGCGGCGGCGGCCCCGGGGCGGCGGCGCGGCGTCTGCACGTCCTGCCCTGCCTGCACGCTTTCTGCCGGCCGTGCCTCGAGGCGCACCGCCTGCCCGCTCCCGGTGGCGCCGGCCCCACCGAGGCGCTGAAGCTGCGCTGTCCCGTGTGCGACCAGAAAGTGGTCCTGGCCGAGGCGGCGGGCATGGACGCGCTGCCGTCGTCCGCTTTCCTGCTCAGCAACCTGCTGGACGCCGTGGTGGCGACCGCCGACGAGCCGCCGCCCAAGAACGGGCGCGCGGGCGGCGGCCCCGGGGGCGCGGGCGGCCACAGCAACCACCGGCACCATGCGCACCACCCGCCCCAGCGCGCCGCCGCTCCGGCGCCGCAGCCGCCGCCCGGCCCGGCCGCCTCTCCCGCGGCGCTCCTGCTGCGCCGACAGCACGGCTGCAGCTCGTGCGACGAGGGCAATGCCGCCTCGTCGCGCTGCCTCGACTGCCAGGAACACCTGTGCGACAACTGTGTCCGCGCGCACCAGCGCGTGCGCCTCACTAAGGACCATTACATCGAGCGCGGCCCTCCTGGGCCGGCGGCCGCCTCCGCGGCGCAGCAGCTGGGGCTCGGGCCGCCCTTCGCCGGCGCGCCCTTCTCCATCCTTTCGATGTACCCAGATCGTCTCGGCTTCTGCCAGCACCACGACGAAGAGGTGAGAGCGCGTGGGACGCGGACGAGGGGAGGGGGCCCTTTTGCAGACTTGTATCATCGCCTCCCTGAGTTGCTCAGAAAGCCACGACCTGGCGACATCTTCCTTCTCCGGGCATGACCGAAGAGTCCCAAAACATCAGATTCCCTCCCTTTTCTGTTTCGTTTTTTTGTGTTTGTTTTTAGTGGTGAGGATTGAACCCAGGGCCTTTTGCTAGTCATGTCTACCCATGAAATAGACTCCCAGTCTCTGGATTTCACTGTTTTTCTTATTTAATTTTTACATTTATTTGCATTCGTGTGGAGGTCGGAGGACAAATTTCAGGAATCGCTTCTCTTCCCCCTAATCTTGTGGGACCCGGGGATTGAAGTCGGGTCTTTGAGGTTTTGAGGCAAGAGCTTCTTAACTAGTAAGCAGTCTCGCCAATCCAACTTAAAATACCTTTTTCTTCTGTGTGGTAAAATGTGCAGTCGGTGTGTCCAGTTGGGCACGAGTTTGGGAGAGACAACTGTGTATTTGTGGAGTCGTGGACTCCTTTTGTGTGGGCCAGCCAGAGGCCGCCCATCGTGCTGAGAGGTTGTCCGGGGTGGGGAAGGGATGGTTAAGGTGCCGAGTTGCTCCCCACGTGTGTGCTGGGCCGGAGGACTTGGATCTTGTCGTTTGCACAAGTTGGCATTCACCAGGTTGTCTGTCTGGTTATTGGTAAGGGGCCCCCAGCTATAGCTTTTTAAGAACCAAGGAACCCCAGTATTGAGTCGCTATATTTGCTTCTACTGTTTTATATACGGTGTGTAAAGCATGTTGTGGTTGAAGAGTATCCACGTGCAGTGACCATGTGGCCTCGTGGGGGCCCCTGAGAGAGAGAGAAGCCAGATTGGGACCACCGCAATTGGGTCTGGGGCGCTGTTCCCAAGCTGGCCCCATCTCCCGTTCCGCGGGGACTCGGTCTCCACCCTGCCCATCCACAGGCTCTTCACTTGGGCAGCCACCCGCAGCTCTAACCTGGGGGCGTGCAGAATCTGAGGGGCCTGCTGCCCTCGGCCCTGATGTCCCTTTGGACTCTTGACCATCACCACTTATTCCATCCACGGGGAGCTGAGAGCAGAGCTTGGCGGACCACCCTTGATGGGTTGGGTAACCTCGTCCAGGTCCACCCGTAAATAAGAGACCCATCTGCGATCGCAGTAGCATCCTGTCGCAGGGAGGGGAGCACGGGACAAACGGGGCCTTCGCAATCGCGCGTGATTTAGAGTGGGATTGCGGGCATCTCCCCCTCGGGGTCCACTTTTTAACGTGTTATTTGGGGAGGAGGGCGGAGCTACCTCCTGGCCTTAAGTTGACTAGGTTGGAAAAAAGCTTGAAATTCTAACGCGAGGAAGTTACCCTTTTAAAAGGTTTCTTCTGAAGTCAAGTCTGTGGTTCACTTCGGCTTTCAGCCCTGCGTTGGTTCCGGTTGTCTCACATTCGTGGTTTGATATTTGTAGTATGTTCTTTCATTGCTTTTAGAAAAACCCTCAACTGGAAGATGGGACCAATTCACTTGCAGATTGGGATCAAATTCGAGGAGGAGGCAGGAAAGAGAGCCCCAAATCTGGGTTTGTTTCCCGCCATGGAGGGAAAGAGTGGAAATGTCTTTTTAAAAACAAACAAACAAATTTTTAGTCAAAGACGCTCCATTTGGGCTAAGGTTGTAGGTGTTTGGTGATCTGTGAGAGGCTAGGTTGGCCGGGAACTGTGTAAACTAAGGTTGGTCTCTGACGCAGCCTCGACTTCCCAAATGCTGAGATTACTGATGGGGGAGCCACATTTTTGAGTAAACTGACAAATAGTTTCTTGATGGGGTCTTCATACGTGTTTTCCTTCCTACCTCCTTAATCACCATCTCTCTTGTTTAGTTTTCTTCCGCTTTGGGGTCGTAATAAATACCTAGGTTTGTGTTTTTCCTTTCTGGTCTTCTCTGTCCCCATCTTTTATTTTTATAAGACAGGGTTTCTCTGTGTAGCCCTGGCTGTCCTGGAACTCACTGTAGCCCAGGCTGGCCTCGAACTCACAGAGATGATATGCCTGCCTCTGCCTCCCAAGTGCTGGGATTAAAGGCATTCACCACCACCACCACCACCACCACCACCACCACCACCACCACCACCACCACCACCACCACCACCACCACCACCCTGCTCTGTCCCCATCGTTGAAGCCCATTATTATTCCCCCGCACAGGCCACATTTAGGAAAAGTCGGGCTTTTTCCTAATATGGGGGACGGTCCTTATTTCCATCCATTTCCCTGCAGATGACATGATTTCATTATTTCTTTGTTGTGTCTGGTTTATTCCCTGTAAATTATCAAACCATTTGAACCGTGGGAGAGAGTGTGAATTAGCAAAGTGAGGCTTTTTCCTACCCTGGGTTCCTTTAAAAGTCTTTCAGCATGTGCGGTCAGGAAGCGGTAAGATGTGAGGCTGTTGAAGGGATCAAGTTTGCTCAGTCTTCAGCAACATTTCTCAGTTTTTCGTTAAAGCAAGAAGCTTGTTAGACCTTTATTCCCTCTTACTGACTATGACAGACCAGTGCTTTGAATGGAAAGAGCAACAAGTCTTACTTTTCCCTCCTGATGGAAATGATCTCTAAGGGTCTCAGGAAGTTGTTCTTTAAAAAGTCATTGCCTCTGGCTGGGAGAGGGCTGGGCTCCTTTTGGGGGTGGGGTGGATGATAGATGTGCTGCTGTCCTCACTTTTGGGGGCATGATAGATGGACCCTTGTCTTGACTTTGGCACACAGAACACCTCAGTGCTTGAATGCCATTGTGCCCACCCTGTTTTTAAAATCTGCAACTGTGTCAAGTTAATTCTGTGTCAACGGGGAGAAATAATTTGGGGTGTCTTCTGGGGACCGATGGTGAAGTGGCTGGAGTGCCTTGCTCATCACCCGACTTTGGGGGGGAGGACTCAGCTTCTTTTGGGAAGATGGCCTTACTTAGGTATCTTCCAAACCCCAAATTTGGAAACTGAGGCAAGATGTTGGAACATTTTTGGTTTAAATAAAAATTACAAGAACTTGAAAACCTAAAAGGACCCCAGCAGTGGATTATACCCGCAATCCCAGGATGAGGCAAGGGCTACAAAGTGAGATCCTGTCCAAAAAACTAAAAGAAAATTTTTAAGAAGGCGTTGGGGGCTTTCCAGCCAAGGGAGACCCACTTGCTTGGGCTTTTGGCTAGTTCTGATCCTGGTGAGCCCCTTAGTCCCAGGAAGGCACTGTGTATGTACCCTCAGGGATGCAGGGCATCGCTCTCAGGAATGGGGTAGAGGCTTCTGATCCTAGGGACAGATTCCCATGGCCACACATTCTTGAAGCTGCCAGTGCCTTGTGAACTCATCCCCCCCTACCTTCCCAGTGGCCGTCTAGGATGTGAGACCTTTCTTGAGAAGCTATACTGGGAAGGAAATCAGTGTGTGTCCCAGAGCTGGGCGGCAAACTTGGTTAAAATGGCAGGACTCCTGGGGACCTTCAGGACCTTCAGATAGGTGATGTTGCCATTGTGATCCCAGGGAAACATTATGATGGCAATATTGTTCCAGGCGATAGGGGAGGACTGGCTGGGATTCTGCAGAAAATGGACTTTGAAATTAAGGATTGAAGGTGAATGAAGGTCCCTGTGGAGTTCATCCAGCTTGAGACTGAGTCCTGGAAAGATCCAGAATTACAAAACCGATTTAACTCAGAAGAATATAGAGTTGTCCTCTGGCTCAGGCCTTTCCACTTCAAACGAGGCAATTTGCTGCTGCCTAAAATAACTGGTTTGAGTTCCTGTACCTAATCTTAGAGGGAGCATCATGCCTGTACTCTACATTTCTGGTTTGTTTTGCAGTCTCAGGATTGAAGCTGCTTTTCATGGGTAGGTACTCCGTGTGTGTGTGTGTGTGTGTGTGTGTGTGTGTGTGTTTTAAGCTATGCATATTTTTTTATGTGTGTGAATTACATTTTGTGAATTACAAAATCCATGCAAAATGGTTTTTGAAACTATAGTTTTGGTTCTCATTTATACTTCAATGTCAAAGTAGTTGGTTCCTTTTCCCCTCTCTCTTTCTTCGTTTTAAGTCAGTCAGGATCTCCCCCCACATACCACTCTGGTCTCAACTCATCCTGACTCTCCTGCCTCAGCCGGCCAAAGGGTGCTGGGATTACAGTGTCACACCCAAACCAAAACCCAGTCTTCTCTCTTTCTTCCTCCATCCGTCTCTGGATGTCAGATTAAAACTTTTAATTTAAATTGGAATCTCATTGGGAGAGAGCTGGAGGTCTCAGGTCACAGTGCATGCATCTCATCTGTGGGCTGCAAAACTAAACTTTGAATACCTCCATAGAGGCTGTTGCCTGTGGTTTAGCAAATATTTCAATGACTATAAATAAAAACATGGCAGGCACTTGCTGACTGCTAAACTTTGTGGAATATTTATTGAAGTGCATAGACTGTGTGTTTGGCCACTCCATACGCTATGATAAGGTTCCTCACATGCATGAAAGGCTATGAACTGGAATAAACTGAGGCTGTGGCATCTGCGTGGTATGGGGAACCTTTCTGTATATGCTTCTGAAATTACCTCGAGGAAGGAAAAATCTTTTTGAAATTGCATGGACATGATAGTTTATAAAAATTGGATTATATATTGATATCAGTGAAGGTATTTTAGGGAAAAGGGACTTACAGGTTTCACTTACTGTCCTTATTCAAGGACATTTTTCAGAGTTAAACATTTAGTTGAATCTGGAATAGGTAACTTTGAAAGAGATTGGAGACTGAGGAGATTTTTTTTTTCCCTACTTTAATTTTGGTCATATAAACACTAGTTTTTTAAAAAAGGAGTCCCAACCCTTCAGACTCGGGAGGTTACAGTGCCTAGTTTGTTAAAAAACAAAAACAAGCGGGGCGGTGGTGGCGCACGCCTTTAATCCCAGCACTCGGAGGCAGAGGCAGGCGGATCTCTGTGAGTTCGAGGCCAG